AAAGGTTCATTATACTCTTTTTTTTTTCATTGTTGGGTATGTTATGGCTTCAAACCTGGCCTTTGTCTACTCCTAATGTTCAGTCCCCGCTGTTGGTTATGTCCTGGTGATATGCAGGTTTATAAATGTTTTACTGAGAGAGAATTAACATATTTTTCTTGAAAATATTTATTACATGATGAAACTTCTCCAGCCAATAAGCATACATGATATTTTAAAAGTATTGTTGGACAAAATCCAAAAAAAGATTCCATTTAAAAGGAATAACATCTGTTTTTGCTTATTTACTCCAAAACAATATACAAAAGTAAAACTGACCAATGAAATACGTGAAATAGGGATTCTCACACAAACACACCCGAATGCACACGCACACAAGTACAGAGGCATCGTGATGGAGAAGATTATCGATTCCACCTAACGTTACTCTCACTGCAAGGACCCACAGGGGACAGCAGGGGGAGCAATTGTCAATAAATGAATCAGGGCAGCTTGGGCGTGGTCTAGCAAACACACACACAGACAGACAGACAGACAGGTCCTTCTAACTCAGTCAGTCCCTGACATTAGCTGAACAGAGTGCATTACTGCCAGGTAATGGGCAAATGTCACAATAGCAGGATGTCATAAAGCTCTGGAGTGGTCTAATGGGTTTTGTTCAGGTTGAGGTGACACACGCACACTCGTTCGTGTGTACACGTGCACTCTTCCAGGAAACGCTCTCTCTCTGCCTTATGTGTCTGATGCATTGACTCGTCACTCGTCATCACAGATCTGACTCCTGACACGGTTGAGCAGATAATACAATCTTTTTAAAGGGGGAAAAAACCATGACAATCATCTGTCATTTGGCAGGAATACGGACGGATGAGCTTTTTTTTTTTTTTTCTGCCCATTGACTGTGTTTGGTTAGATTTAACGTTTACCTAAGATCTCACTGAAACACGGCGTGTTTTTGACAAAAGACATTCCATTATGAAAGCTCCTTCCGAACACTTTGCAAACCATCGATGATTGTTCGTTCATGTTTCTCAAAGAGTGTTTCTCTTTAAGCACAGCTTTTCACAGATCCTTATGTTTTATTATTAACATAAAATAACAGGTTGGTTTGTGTGGTAAACATACGGCTTCTGGGCCAGAAGCAGCCCGTCCCAAAGCCTGAAGGAGGATTTTAGAAAATGTTAAATTGAAATGTTATTAATAAGAGCTCCCTCTTCAATATTTATTGGATACCATTGATTAAATATCTTTATAAATATAATGGTTGAAGTAAGATTTGTTGTTCCTGAAAAGTTTGTAAAATGAGACATTATTTATTTCTTTTTTTTTAATTGTATATATTATTATATTATTATACATATATTCCAATGGTCAGGCTCACATGTGATCGTTTGCGGCCACACGTTGCTTCTTAACTAAAATTAGTTTGAAACCCTTGTATCGGATGATAAGACTTGGTCTGTGTGGGCTCTGCTTTATATTCTGGTTGGGAGTGTGAGTCTGTGTGTGTGATTGTGTTTATGGACTAGTTTGACCCTTTTTAGGACCCTGGCAGGAATTCTTTCTTATTTATTTCATCATTAAAATAACCAAGCCTGGTCCTAAATGGGTGATGATAAAGTGTTGTTCCTGCATTCACACCTATGATCAGTCAGTGTGTCATGTGTATACAGTAGTCTGAAACCCCTTTATTCTCTCAAAGTTTTTTGCTGCCTTCAGTCCAGTGACACATAGATAAACACCGTCTAGAATCAAACCTCCATCTTTTTGCGTAATAGCTGACCCTTTTACCCACTGAACCACAGCATACGCCCTGAGAGGAAACATGTACAGTCTTTGTAACGTGTTTTAGGATTGGGCTGCTACAGAATGCAGTTCAACCAACAACAACTTGTAGAGAGGAATGTCATGGGAGAAGTTTATCGATCACTCCCAGTGCAAGCGCACACAGGAGACAGCAGGGGGAGCAATGGTCAATGATGTACACACACACATACAGTACATTTGTGCACACACACACACACACACACACAGACACTATATGTACAAGAATGGCCTCGTGGGATAAGTCTGCCAGGCTTTCAAGATAACACAGGACATATTGCACTAACACACACACACACACACACGCAGTGACTCATAACCAACACAAACACAGTGCAGTGTAACACAACACGAGCATATTAACCAGTGGCCGCAGTGATGGACACAGATAAGTTAAACGCAATCAGTCTTCATCAAGCTGCTAAAAACAGAACGTCTAATTGTCTTGTTTATCTGACTCACGTTATCATCTGTGCCGCACTGTAAAATAATACACACGTAAAACAACACAACCTGCCGGTTAAATGGCTTTAAACGCTATTTGGAGTAATGTTTCAAATATACCAACAAATATTATATATTTGAAGTTTATATATTTTATACAAATATTTAGATGTACTTAAATAACCAACAAAATATAACCAGATCAGTTTTATATTATTATTATTATTATTATTATTATTATTATTATTATTATTATTATTATTATTATTATTATTATTATTATTATTATTATTATTATTATTATTATTATTATTATTATTATTATTATTATTATTATTATTATTATTATTATTATTATTATTATTATTATTATTATTAGAAGCCAGTTAGTTCATAGGAGTTTAAAAAACAAATATAAATCTTAAAATAAATCTCAACAAACTAACCGTTGTCCAAATGAACAAAATTAACAAATAATTGGACCATAGATTTAACCAACCAAATTCATCCAGCTAAACAATCAATCAAAACCAGCCCTAACTAACCCACCTTTTGTCAAACCAATCAACAGTGGAACCCAAGTCCCCCATATTCCAACTAATTAACACACTTAACTTAATTTAACCAATTTACCACCCACCATTAACAAACTATTAAAATAATTTAAAAGGCATAAAAAATAAAAATAGGGAAAAAATATTATAAACTGGTAATGTAAAATAAACAATGATAAAATGACTTGATAATTAACTCACCAATATGATTTTATCATGAGGGGATATTAGGGTGTTAATGTGGAGAAAAAAAACACAAAAGACTCATTTTAACAACAAAAATAATATGACAAACAGATAGAAAACTGATTATGAACTAAACCAAGCTCGATAGACAGTCGGCCGTTAGCGGAGACATAACGAGATGATGATGATTACAGATGATCAACTGAATAAACTGAAGAAGCACTGATGAGCTAATAACAAACCAAAATGAATCGACGGCGGACTAATACGTCACTGATTATAAACCTTTCATTAAGATCAACGTGAACTAATTAATAGATGAGCTGATAGTAACTGGAAAAAAAAATTGTCTTTTTGATATGATGGACGGAGGCTGTGATTTTACAAGCCCGAGCAGTGATGGTGAATGGACACATACTGTTCCTACCCCTGTAGCACCACCCCCCCCCTCCCCGACCCCTCCAAGTTCTCTCCTGAGAGGCAGTTAGGGTTTGTGTAGTCAGATCAGGCAGTTGGTGAGGAGGGGGGAGGGGGGGTGAGGGTGAGGAGAGGGGGGAGGGTGCTGGAAGACAGACAGAAATGATGAAGCATAGAGAAAGAGACTGTGAAGCCGAGTCCACAGGCAGGCCATGGCCAGTGGAGTGAAAAATGGAACAGCTCACTCCAGGCCAGCTGAGCTTCTCCACAGTCCACTCTTCTGTAAACACAGCACCACAATGAGGGGTGCTGCCCTCTGCCTTTACACAACCACAGCCAGCGCTGGGTGTAAAGACGTTGTCTACACCTCTGAGCTTTAAGAATTCACGTGAGGCTGCGTTCACGTTCTGGATACAGGAAGTATGAAGATGTTGCAAACGGTTGCACGTAGTAGAGCAGATGCAACGCATCAACCATTAATGACTCGTCCCCATACTGACCAATAAAGACTTGTGGAGTGTTTCCTGGGTTATCTAAGGTGAGCAGGAGAATCCACCTCACATTCAGCCTGTAGTCACGATTCAATAAATCAACATCGTACGTGTTTCTCAATGGCGGTGACAGTTTTTCCACGTTCTTACAGTGCTTTTCTCCTCAGTAGTTCTCGCACGTAAACTGACCTAAAAACTAGGCTGTATCAAGAGTCTTAATATAGACATGGCTTCAACTTGTCCTATTTAAACCTTCTCATTATTACTGATTAAAAAGATTCACGCATGCGCGCGCACTCACGCACACACTCTCTATACAAGCTACATTTGTTGGCATTAACAGACCCGGTTTAGCTACTTTCATTAAGCCAATAACAATTACTGAACCTGTTTAGGAGGATGCGCGTTGTCCTGATGGCGTCCCGAGATGCTTGCTGAGTGTCTCCTCTGCATCGTTCCCTTGGTATCAACCTGACAAACCCAGCCTAAAAATTCCCTGGAAGTTGACAACAACAGTATCTGTATGCCCACTGCCTGATTTTCAGCGCTACCGTTCACACATCAGAGTCCCGGAACCTCAATCAAAAGCAAATTTCACTGATGTTTCCTACAAACACTTCCTCACTCCCTCTGCTCCTCGGCTCCTCTCCTCCGCTGCTTCACGAACCTCCCCCTGTCCTATCACCCGCCCCTGCCTCTGTATCTGCCAGCTGCACATGTTCACTGATGGTTCAATGGCGAGATGACCTGCAGCACACACAGATCACTGCAGTCGAACATACCTGGTTGCTAGGAAGGCTTGGGACAAAGATCAGAGTCACTCGTCTCTGGACCATAAAGTAGTTGTTTGGGTCTCAGTTGGACACAGCTGTACTACGCCCA